AAAGTAGTAATTTTAAATTAAATTGGTAATTACATGAATTGGTATTATATGGCTGAATAATAAGGATAGAGGTATGTTTACTAATTAATTAATCAATCGTTTATTGCATTTCTTTCCAATATTATAAGTAATTATCTTTGATACATACATTATTTTTGATGATAAGTTGAAACGGAAAATTATGGCTGTTTAAATCAGAACAAACCTGCTCTTCGAGGAAATGTTTGAGAGCATCTTTGGTTGCATTGTACTGAATTTCATATACAAGCATTAATTCATTAAAAAGAGGTATTTCGAGCAAAGATGCAAAATCAACCATTGATTGATTGAGAAGCTAAAATAAAACAATTCTATATAAATATAGCACAAAAGTTACTTCCAAAATTTCATCCATGCATTAGTTACTGATAATGAATGATTTTAGGCTAAAGTTGACGATCAGCTTATTTCAACTTTTATTTTAGGTACGGATGCTACGGATACTTTCATATCACACAATAGATGTGATAATGGAGGAAGCATCTACTGGCTAACCTAACAATGGGTAACACAAATATGAGTTGTCCTGTGGATACCATAAAGCTATAAGTGACCAATACTCAACAATACTTTAGATTTGATCTTTTTTCTCAGTTTACAACTTTTCTTCAATAATACTGTATCTGTATATCCAAAACATAGGATGAAAGAATAAGATTTGAAAAAAAAAAACTCATAAATTTACAAAAGATTGTAATTCTTCCTTACTTTACAATTCAGTGGCAATTTTTTTTATTCTTATGATCATTGTAACAATTTCTGTACATGTTCGAAATCCAAAATTTGATAAATAATTTAGGATTCAATAAAGAATTGACTGAGAAAAATAGTCCCCAAGTAATGCAAACTGTTTCTCATTCATATTTGATATTAATTAGTTTAACTTTTAAAACTTTGCCAACTTCAACAGCTAAATACAGAAAAGTTGTACTTAAAGTTCCTATTAAATTAAAGAAAAAAGTATAAATAAATTGAAGAATTTGAGAATTATTTGATAAGATAATTAGAATAATACTATTATAACTTACATTATTACTCGTATTTGATGATGATGATGATGATGATAACGATTGAATATCAACTCTGGAAGTAATATTATTGTCGCCTGCAGATACTGATGTTTGCTGTTGTTGATTGCTATTCGCCATTGATAGCTGACAAAAAAAAAATAAAAAAATGAAGAAAAATGACAATTGTACGGAAATGTTGCATTGATCAAATAAGTAAGTTATTTCTCGGACATTCTCGAAATTTTCAACATAATTTAGCTCCTGATAACAAATTATCGGATGTAATTCTCGCTGAAACACATTGGGTCATATTCTTTCATAAGGAAAGTTAGAATAATTTTGTCATTGTTTTGAACAAAAATTTAGAATCTATTTTTAGAGGCCAAATTTTTGAAAGATCTGGTTAGACTTTCAATTAAAAATTATTAAGCATCGTTTTTTTGTTTTTTGTTTTAAATAACAAAATAAAAACCGGAGCGGAATAAACCTTCCTTTCAGTTAACAACCAATAACTCCGGTTTTTTGTATATAAGATAAAAGCCGGAATGGAACAAACCTTCCTTGCAGCTAACAACCGATGAAATAGGCAGTAAATGTATAACTGATGATAACGAAGAGCAGCTTGACAACGTCGGAGAGTTTCGAGCTGTTGACGATTGAGCATGCTTCCCTTCCTGATATGCAAATTTCTGACTAGTAAAGACTGTGGATATATTCCGGTAGGCAAAAAGAGAGATACCTCTTCGTGCTTACAACCAATAATTTATATGACAAGTACCATTTAAGGTACCATCTTACTACAAATGATTTTACTACTTTCGTAATCAATGATAAATGCTGTGAGAAATATCATCAAAAATATTACCGTTATTATAATTACGGAAATATTCATGTTGCCATAGGTACCATCAAAGGTACCAATATAATTAAGCGGTACGTTTTACCATATGACACCACAAAATTGTACCTTAATTCAAATACTAACAAAATTATGGATTCTTCCATTGATATTATCAATGTATCATTATCATAACTCAAATACTATCACAATCATAGCTTTTTCCGTAACCATCATCAAAAATGTCACTATCAAAATTCAGATATACTACAACAATTCCAGGTTCTATCATAGGTACTCAAATATTACCGCCTTAAGTTTTGTCACAGATACCATTAAAAAAACCATCACCATAAATTAAATATTTTACAAAAACACAGTTTCTATCATAGATATCATAAGAATAATGTCAATATAATTTAAATGTTACCACAAATATAGTTAGATATCATAAAGGTACCATAATTCAAATGGTACCATAATTCAAATACTACCACAAATATAGTTAGATATCATAAAGGTACCATAATTCAAATATAAGATATCATAAAGGTACCATAATTCAAATGCTACCACAAATGCAGTTATTATGGTAACATAATGATAAATGCTACCATAAAACTCACATGATATTATAAGCATAGGTTCTATCACAGGTATCATCTACTATCAAAGGTACAATTTCCGGTATGCTTAATAGCTCAGATGACATAGAGGTAATAGATAAAAGAACAATCGAAACAGGCTAACAGCAAAGATACCACAACAGGCATACCAAATTGGATGCTTAGCTGTGAACGTGCATTTTCGGAAGAGAAATTTGAAATTGAAGGCGCCAATTCTGAGAAACAAATGCTTAAATGCTATTTGGGAAAGAGATAAAACATGAAATGGATTTGAAAGGATTGAGAAAATATTTATATGATACCACGGTACATACGGTACTTATATAAATGGGTACCGTAATTATTTTTGAATTTCCCCTTTAAATGGTTTATTTCATCCTTATAACTAACTAACAATTGTTTTATCATTGCATTATACAGTAGAATAAATTGAAAGGAAGTAAGCTATGATTAATAGCTGATACCGCGGTACCATAAGTTGAAGTTATTTTACTGATGAAATATTTGTGTGATACCACAGTACATATGGTACTTATATAAATGGGTACCGTAATCATTTTACTTTATTTCTTCAGCTGTTTCATCATTGCATCATATGGTCGATTAAACTAAAAGGAAGTAAGTAACCAAATAAGTGATGTAAATTATTGATAATTGATACTACGGTATCATAAGTTAAATTCATTCATTTCATTGTATAACAAAATTCCTGTAACTTTGTTTTTTTGTTTTTTGCTTTTTGTTTTTTTTTTTTGATTCTTCCAATTACATCATACTTTTTGGATGGAAAGAAAGAAAGAAATTAAATTTCATTAAAATATTTCAATATTTTCAAAAAATTTCATTTTCTGATTTTAAGCAAAAAGGATGAAAAAGAAAATGTTATAGTTTTTTTTTCTTTCGTTTATTTATTTACCATTCATTGTTTTTTGTTTATTTATTTACCACTCATTGTTTTTCGTTTATTTATTTACCACTCATTGTTTTTCGTTTATTTATTTACACTCATTGTTTTTGTTTATTTATTTACCACTCATTTTCTGTTTATTTATATACCACTCATTGTTTTCTGTTTATTTATTTACTACTTATTATTTTTTGTTTATTATTTACTACCCATTGGTTTCTGTTTATTTATTTACTAATTATTTCTTGCTTATTTACTTATTTTTCAATTTATATTTCTATTTACTATTATTGATATTTTCATTCAATTCGCTATTTCCACAATTATTACTGTAAATTATTTACTTGTCTTTTCCTTTTTTTACAATGTTTACTTATTTATTCACTTCTCTTTTTGTTTTTTCTAATATTTGCTTTTAAATTCATATTTTGGATTTACCGTACATTTCATGTTTTATATTTATATTTATCAATTTCATTCACTGTTATCTATCACTGTTTACTGTTAATTGTTATTGTTTATTATTTACCCGTTAAGTCTGTTAAATGACAAAAACTACAAATAGAAATTAATGTTTACAGCTGTTTTACAAAAAATTTAAGACTACACTTTTTTTTTAGAACAATTTCTTCGTTTTTTCCTTGTAACATTTGAGAAGTTTTCAAAATTGTCATTGAAATGGGTAAAATGAAATGGTCAAGTTTTATAAATTTAATTATTTCAAAAAAAAAAGAGAATCTGATTAAAATTTTTTTTTCTGGTGGAACCAATATGTTTACGCAATGTTCTAATTAGTCTATGAATAATAATATTCTGATTCATGAATAATATACTGATTAGTTCATGAATAATATACTCTGGAATCATTGTGATAATGAAATACACTGTGGATGATGATGATCTATTTCATGAGTGATAAACTGATTGTTTCATAAATAATATACTCTAGAATTCTTGCGATAATGAGGTACACCATGGCTGATGATGATGACGATCAATTTTCCGAGTGATAAACTGATTAGTTCATGAATAATATACTCATGATAGTGTGTTTTATTTTATCACTGATAATTTATTTGGCGTATGTTTTGCTCACTTTGTAAAAAACTTCACATAAATTTTTTCATCAAATCATACTCATTGACAGCTAAGTTAACTTACTTGTAAATTTCTTCCAATTTCTTTGCATTATTTAAAATATTTGGGAAGGAAAATAATTGTCCTCAATTTTTAATTTTCTTTAAACATTTCATTCTTTGCCAATTATATTTCATTAGCTAATCTCTACCCAACTAATTTATGCCATTAACTAATCTAATTAAGATTAATTTAATTCGTGTATAATTCTTAAGTTGACACGACGATTTTGATTATTGATAAGTTGCATTCGATAGTGATAATTAATAATAATAATGATAATGATAATTTTAATCGATAGTGATAATTAATAATAAAATGACAGTTAATGATGACAGTGATGATGGTAACTGTAATCGATAGTGATAATTAATAATAATAGTGATAGTGATAATTGCAATCGATAATTTCTTTTGATAATGCTCATTTGATATAAACGATATTTTTTGTTTATTAGAAATTCATAAAATTATTATCAAAGAGTATGGTAAATTTTTATTTTTTCCAGTCTGAGTAGAAGTTTGTATAAATGTTGATAAATTTTTGATTGAAAATTTAATTAAAAATTGCGACTTTAAGTTTTTCTATTTTTGTTTCATACAATTTTATTCACCTCATTAAATCATTAAAATAAAGTAAAATAAACTGGATAATACACCGTAACCTAAATAACAATTTTACGGTATATATCCAATTATATATCCGTCATCCAATTAACTTTTAATTATTAGTCTCAAATATATTCCAGTTGATTATTTCAGTTAAATAATTCATTCTGTGGAAGAATTTGGAACATTTTCCCATTTCATATTATTAATCAAGTGCATTTTTGTTGAGTTATATTTAATAATTTTAGATTTTCATGATTAGGTTAACACAATTCATAGATCATAGGTCATAGGTCACAGCATGCTAGAAATGATTTTTTTCATGCTCTTAGCTAAATGTCATTTCTTGTTCGTAATTATATTTAATAATTTTATATTTTCATGATTAGGTAACACAGTTCAGTAGATCATAGATCATAAGTTACAGCATGCTGGAAAAGTTTGATTTTTTTTTTCATATTCTTACCTAAATGCATTTTTTTGTTCGAATTATATTTAACAATTTTATATTTTTATG